AGAAGGAAGAGGGTACTTATCACTGTATTGAGAAACTAACGGAAGGAAATGCCTGGATTCCTCAGCCCCTGGAAAGGCTTGTCTCTCCTCTTAATTCCTGAGGATTCCTGACAGATACAAAACAGCACACAGGAAGCCTCCTGTTAAATGCTTCCTGACAGTTCTTCTTCATATATGAGGAGGGAAACACTCTTGGAAATGGGGATCATCTTTGTCTTGCTGGGTGCTAAAGTCAGCAGCTAGACCCTATGGCATAAGAATACCCTCCTTCCCTCAGAGCCATTCCTGTTCCTGTCCTTTTAGTTAAGGTCACTGAAGAAATAGTTATCAAATCCTTTCAAACTATCTTTGGAGTCCATGCAGAAGTCTTCCTAAATTCTTATCACACTCAATACCTTTAGGCCAATTGTCTCACTTCCTAGAAAACCCTCTTGCTAACTGCTCCTTATATAACTCTCTTTCATTGTAATAACTTTAATTGTATCACCCTTCTTCCCTCATCTGTGGATGATACTCCTCATGATTGTTCGGTTCTAACAGATCATCTTTTGACCCCTTGCAAGGATTCATAGCAAAATCCCCTAACCAATGCTGAATTTTCATAGTTTACTGACAGTTCTTATTTAAAGGATGAAAAATGTAAATACTGTGCTAGGTATACAACTGCAGCTACTTTTGAAGTCACTGAGACAGCACCTTTGCCTTTGGTTACCTCAGTCCAACAAGCTGAATTATATGTTCTTACTTGGGTTGTACTCTAGCCAAGGGTAAATTTGCAGACTTTATACTGATAGTTGGCATGCCCTTTAACTTGCCCAATGGACTATTCAAGTTTTGGCAAATGGATTATATTCAGCTTTCTCCATCTCATGGATATAAATATGTTTTAGTCATGGTTCATATGTTTTCCCACTGGGTCAAAGTTTTTCAGTGTAGATAAGTTACTGCCTCTTCAGTATCTAAAATATTAATAGAAAAGATTATCCCTACCTAGGTAACTTCTTGAGCTCCATCGTGACTGGGGAACCCATTTTACTGGCCAAATACTATATTTGTGCTGTTTGCCTAGATCTACAGCATTTTCATTATGCTTATCATGCTCAGTCTTTAGGACTAGTTGAATGAACTAACAGCACCATCAAAACACAATTGGCAGACTTCCCTGGTGGTCCAGTGGTTAAGAAACCACCTGCCAATGCTGAGGATACAGATTTGATCACCTAAGCCCATGTGTTATAAATACTGAGCCCATGCCTAGAGTCAGTGCTCTGCAGTAAGAGAAGTCACTACAATGAGAAGCAGTGAGAAGCCTGTGCATAGCAACAAAGAGTAGCTTACCACAACTAGAGAAAGCCTGCATGCAGCATCAAAGACCCAGCACAGCCAAGAATAAATAATAAAAAATTAAAAAAAAAAACTCATTTGACAAAATTTGTGGAGACCCTCCAAGTACCTTGGCCAAAAGCATTGCTTGTTGGTCCTTCTAAATCTCAGATCCATCCCTTTGGAACTCATAATTGCTGGGAACCCCAGGCATGTAGCTCCATAATTAATAAAAGGAGATATACTTCAATATTGAAAAGTTCTGATTACATCCATTGAAAATAGTCATGCTTTAGTACAGCAATATTTTCACAGCATGCTCCTGAGAGATGAAGACCTCAAACACCATACTTTGCAGCCTGGAGACTTTGTTTATTGGAAAAGACATCTCTAGAAAGACTCTCTTCAACCCCATGGGAAAAGTCCTAGTAAGGTACTATTAACCAACTCTTGTGCTGCCAAACTCCAAATTATAGATAGACTCTTAGATTCATGTGCCATTTAAAGAAAACACCAAACCCTGACTAGACCTATACACTAACTAGTGACCTGAAAACAAAGATTTCCAGGAACTGAAGCAGACAACAGGTGAAGGAGACAGTTTTCCTGAGAAGACTAGAGCAGATGGCTGTCATTTCTCACTTTATTATCCCTTTCCTTCTTGGAAAGACAATGCTCTTATCCACATTTCCCACTCTATTGAAAAAGGGGGAAACTTATCTGATTGGTATATCACCAGAAACTCTGTGTTGGAGAACCATGTTGGAGACCTGTTGGTCTTGTCTGTAAGCATTTTCTCTGTAATCCCAAATGCCAAGGCTGATTTTATCCACAAGCCTATGGATGTTACCTATCAGTTTAAGCTGTTATGACTGAATGTTCCCATATCTTATCTCAATCTTTCCCCAATCATAACCATACCACTGTAACTAAATGCTCTACTTTTGCTGATCATATGACCTTCACTTTCCATGTTATTTTTCTCATCCAAATATGGTCTCCTGCACTCAAGGGAAATACAAATGAGTTTACCCCTGTTTGTAAGGCTTTTAGAAAAGTTATTTTTGGCATTAGATGGTATTTAAAAGAATGTCATCCTAATTAGTCTGATCCCTAGTTTGAAAAGAGATCAGATTTTAAATCAGAAACTTTAAGCTAATGGATTTATCCATTTCCAGACCTCAGCTGGGGTCTCCTGTGCTCCATCTGGCTTCATTTTTGTCTGTTGTGGATGACATTTCCCGTGGACATATGAATATTTAGATAGCTGATGAATTGGAGGTTAATACTTACCATTATATTTAACTGTCCCTTTTAATATCAATAACAAGCCAGACCCCTCACTAGTACACCCCATTAAGCCTCCATGGCTATATTAAATAGGAGCTTCCAGGATACATACATGACTTCAGGTTTGTCTCCACAGGGTGAGATTTTCTCCCTTGCATCAGAGTAAGTGCCATTGATTGCATGATCAGAAATATCTCCCTAACATTAGGAAAGCTAGCCAATTCTGCAGCCAAAGCAGTAGCAGCCAAACAGCAATCACTTGACTTAGTGGCTAAAGTAGTTCCAGATGTTTACATAGCCCTTGATAACCTACTTGTTGAACAATGAGGAATTTGTGAGATTTGCACGTGGATAAGTGCCTCTGAAGAGGTCAAAACTTGATTACACAAAATCAGAGGATAAGCACATTGTTAACAATAAATTTCGCCTGACATGATCCTTTTATTTGTTCAGTTGGCTACCTTCAAGTCTAAGGTCGTGATTTAGAACCATCATACAAACTGAATTTTTCATATTACTTTCAATTCTACTTTGTATAATTATTTGTAAGCTTTGTAGCTATTGCTTGTTAAATTCTTGTAGAAATGATGTACAATAAAGTGATGCTAGCTTAATGCTTCAAGATAATCTCTAACACTTATGACTTTGATAAGATAAAGAATTTAGGTGGAAAATGCTTAAGAGTTCCTCCTATCCTTTCTTGTTACTCAAATGTGACCTCAACAGTTTCTAATGTGTACTCTTTCCCTCTGACATGGCATATGACAAGGATCAGGAAAGATCCTTTCTGGCTCTGAGGAACAAAATCACCAAATATGGAAAACCTGACTCTTGATCAGCAACACTTTCAAGGAAAGATTTTGATCAAAAGGGGGAAATGTAAAAATCAAGAAAGGAAACGTACCATTCTTATAGCTTATTTTACATACTCCAGCAGGAAGAAGTTACTTTACACACCCCAGCAATTAGAAGGAAGATTTTCTCTTTGTGCAGCAACACACAGCCAATGGGAAACTGCCATAACTCTGCCAATGAGAAGCTGCCACAACCCTACACTCTTGTTCCCATTCAAAAACTTTAATTCAAAACAGTCCCCCCAAACTTCCTCCTTTCCTCTTTGAAGATCATTCCTCTCCTTTGTTCACTGGACTTGCTTACAGTTTGCCACACTTTATATATCCTGAATTTAATTCTTCTGCTTTTCCAAAATAAACTCAATTTTTTGATTGGGTCATTTAGTAGAGAGGGAGGTGGGATTGGGGAGCGGGATGGGGAATACATGTAAAAAAAAAAAAAAGATACACTATGGTTGTGATAAAATAAATAAATAAATAAATTAAAAAAAAAAAAGAAAGAAAAGAAAAAAAAAAAACAAAATAAACTCAATTTTGCTGGCTGAATTATTTACCTTTTTTTTTAAGGTTGAAACTGGTAATCAGGATGCCTTATACCATCTGGTATAGGGAGGGTGTCTTTCATATGGGATATTTACTTCTGCTTTTAGGGGAATGAGGGTCAGGGTGTCCTTACACTGGCTGTTTCTTAAGTAAATTTAATTTAAACTAATAAATATGCCAAATGGCATATTTACCTGGTTCCCACTGCTTCCCCACCATGCAGCCTCATCACCTTCCTCACATCAGTAGTGCAAGCACAGCTTTCTCTCTCAAGTCTCTCCCAACACTGTCCAACCCCTTTTTGGGTTTTGATAGACTCCAAGTTTGCACCTTATTTACCTCTGTAAACTAGGGGTCTTGAAGCCCCAGTCTTCTTACCCTCAGCTCCCTAGCCCCCAAATCCCCTTCCCCCACTCAAGTTCTCTGATCTCCATTGATTCACCCTTCCTTTTACAATAGGATTGAGAGAGAGAGTATGTGTGTGTGCATATGTGTATGTGTGCGGTTGCAGCCCCTAGGTGCGTGATTCACAACTATTAGCATCTGGAAAGAATCGGCAGTGCCCGCTGCCACTGTACGCTTGCGCCCTGCTGCCTGCACCGTCTCCCCTCCCCCCGCCACGTCTGGGCTCATTGCGACACCCAGTGTGGCTTCTGGTCCGCTCACCCTGTAGAGGGGGCTCTGGCTAGGCGGCAGGTCTAGCAGCCTTGCGTGCCTGTGACTCAGCACGCTTGTGACGAGTCACGTAGCCTGCACTTTGGCGGTTGGCGTGGTGGTGAGCAGACCTGTTCTACTCTCGGTGAGGAAAGCGGGACCCTGTGAGGGACAAAAGAGGCGGGCGAGGAGGCCAGGACTGAGCTAGAACTCAAGGAGGACTGAGCCGGGAGGAGAAGGGTGGACTTGGTAGCGGCGGCAGCTTTTAGCTGTCGCAGCTGTTGCAAGGCGGCGTCTTCTTCAGTGAGGCCGTTGGTTGACTAGGCCTCGGCAGCCATGGCTGTGAACTTTGGGGACCATGCCAGTGGCTTTCGCCACAGCGATGTAATCAGGTTCATCAACAATGAGGTCATCATGAACGGGGGTGGCCCTGAATTCTACGTGGCCTTCCGCTCGCGACCCTGGAATGAGGTAGAGGATCAGCTGCAAAGCGTGGTTTCTGACCCGCGGGTGCCACGCGCCATCAAGAGGGCCTGTGCCTGGAGCGCGCTGGCATTGAGCGTGCGTGTGTGCGCAAGGCAGTGGGAGCAGCAGGCGCACCGTATCAAGTGGCTCCAGGAGCAGGTGGGGGAGCGTGAGGCGGCTTCCTGGGCCCTGGCCAGCGAGCTGAAGCACCTCCGTGAGGAGCATGAGGAGGTGGCAGTGCATCTACGAGGCACACGGGTCGCCCTGAAGCAGGTGATAGATGAGCGAGATATGTTGCGCGGGCGACTGCTCCAGCTCGAGAGATCGGCCCAGCTAGCACCTGTGGCACATGAAATGCTGCCTGGGCCTGGAGCTGAGCAGCTTGGAGCTATAGCATGGCCCATGAATGTACCAGAGCACAGCAATATGGTGGCTCTGGGAGCACAGGGCATGCCACATTCAGAGAGTCAGATGGCAGCCCCGGCAGCTGTGGTTTATGTCCCGGGACCCCAGAGCTCCTTTGCCCAGGCAATGCAACCCCTTCCACCAATGCCGGTGCCACATCCATTGCCATTCCCCACGGGATTCCCATATGTGACACCTTTACCACCTTCAGCAGTTATGGAAGGGGGAGCAGTCACGGCAGCAGCAGTACCAGTAGCAGTCGCACCCCAGATGCCTCCTCTGGGGATCTACCCACCTGGTCAGTGGGCTGCAGTGGGGGCCCAGAAAGAGATGGCCCCACCATATGACCAGAGTTTCTATGCCCAGGAATATTCTGACAACCTCCAGGGGCAATATGCCCAGGAGACCTGCAGAAGCCACACCCAAGAGGGAGGTGCTGTGTGTCCCCAGGAGATGTGCCCCCTGGTGGACAGCAGAAGCTACAGCCGAGAGAAAGGTGCTGTGCGTCCCCAGGAGATGTGCCCCCTGGTGGACAGCAGAAGCTACAGCCTAGAGGAAGGTGCTGTGTGTCCCCAAGGGATGTCCTCCCTGGGGGACAGCAGAAGCCAGAGCCAAGAGGAAGGTGCTGTGTATCCCCAGGGGATGTCCTCCATGGGGGTCAGCAGAAGCCACAGCCGAGAGGAAGGTGCTGTGTGTCCCCAGGCGATGTCTTCCCTGGGGGGCAGCAGAAGCCACAGCGGAGAGGAAGGTGCTGTGTGTCCCCAGGGGATGTCCTCCATGGGGGTCAGCAGAAGCCACAGCCGAGAGGAAGGTGCTGTGTGTCCCCAGGCGATGTCTTCCCTGGGGGGCAGCAGAAGCCACAGCGGAGAGGAAGGTGCTGTGTGTCCCCAGGGGATGTCCTCCATGGGGGTCAGCAGAAGCCACAGCCGAGAGGAAGGTGCTGTGTGTCCCCAGGCGATGTCTTCCCTGGGGGGCAGCAGAAGCCACAGCGGAGAGGAAGGTGCTGTGTGTCCCCAGGCGATGTCCTCCATGGGGGTCAGCAGAAGCCACAGCCGAGAGGAAGGTGCTGTGTGTCCCCAGGCGATGTCTTCCCTGGGGGGCAGCAGAAGCCACAGCCGAGAGGAAGGTGCTGTGTGTCCCCAGGCGATGTCTTCCCTGGGGGACAGCAGAAGCTGCAGCCGAGAGGAAGGTGCTGTGTGTCCCCAGGAGATGTGCCCCCTGGTGGACAGCAGAAGCTACAGCCGAGAGGAAGGTGCTGTGTGTCCCCAGGAGATGTGCCCCCTGGTGGACAGCAGAAGCCACAGCCGAGAGGAAGGTGCTGTGTGTCCCCAGGGGATGTGCCCCCTGGTGGACAGCAGAAGCCACAGCCAAGAGGAAGGTGCTGTGTGTCCCCAAGGGATGTCCTCCCTGGGGGACAGCAGAAGCCAGAGCCAAGAGGAAGGTGCTGTGTATCCCCAGGGGATGTCCTCCATGGGGGTCAGCAGAAGCCACAGCCGAGAGGAAGGTGCTGTGTGTCCCCAGGCGATGTCTTCCCTGGGGGGCAGCAGAAGCTACAGCCGAGAGGAAGGTGCTGTGTGTCCCCAGGGGATGTCTTCCCTGGGAGACAGCAGAAGCCACAGCCGAGAGGAAGGTGCTGTGTGTCCCCAGGGGATGTCCTCCATGGGAGACAGCAGAAGCCACAGCGGAGAGGAAGGTGCTGTGTGTCCCCAGGGGATGTCCTCCATGGGGGTCAGCAGAAGCCACAGCCGAGAGGAAGGTGCTGTGTGTCCCCAGGGGATGTCCTCCATGGGGGTCAGCAGAAGCCACAGCCGAGAGGAAGGTGCTGTGTGTCCCCAGGGGATGTCCTCCATGGGAGACAGCAGAAGCCACAGCGGAGAGGAAGGTGCTGTGTGTCCCCAGGGGATGTCCTCCATGGGGGTCAGCAGAAGCCACAGCCGAGAGGAAGGTGCTGTGTGTCCCCAGGGGATATCCTCCATGGGGGTCAGCAGAAGCCACAGCCATGAAGAAGGCCATGTTTGTCCCCAGGGCCCAGCGCCCCAGGGAGACAGCAGGAGCCACAGCCAAGAAGAAGGCCCTGTTTGTCCCCAGGGCCCAGCGCCCCAGGGAGACAGCAGGAGCCACAGCGAGAAGAAATGTCCAGTGATGCCCCAGGAGAAGTACTCCATGGGCAGCAGCAAGATCCCCAAACAAGAAAGTCCAGGGAGGCCCCAGGGGGCAGGTGCCTCAGGGTCCAGCACAAGTCATGGTTTGAGAAAAAGCCCAAAGAAACAGGAGCAAAAGGCCAAGCAACCAAAAGAGAAAAAATCCTCAGATCTTCAGCATCAGTGGAAACCTGCTACACACTCCAATCAAAATTGTTGGCAGTGCCTGCGTTGTAAAGCAGTGAATTTTTCATGGCGCAAGTCCTGCTATAAATGCAAGAAAGTCTGCAGGGCAGATAAGAGTGGAGGCCCGGATCCAGGACAAGCTCACTGATTTCAGGAAGGTAAGTAAGAATGGAAACACTCTAAGGAAAAACCAATTTCTTAACAACCTCTCCTCTTTTGATCAAAAAGTAACTCATTTACTTCACAGAAAATCTGAAAACCAAAATTATGAAAGAAAAACAAAATAATCCATTATTTCATTACCCAGATTAAGCACTTTTTATCATCTGAGCACACATACAAATATATACACACATGCATGCACACATTCAATTATATTCTTATTTTGTACACTTATTTTAACGAAGATAGACTACTTTGAGTATTCAGGTCAGTTCAGTTCAGTTTAGTCGCTCAGTCGTGTCTGACTCTTTGCGACCCCATGAATCACAACACGCCAGACTTCCCTGTCCATCACCAACTCCCGGAGTTTACTCAAACTCATGTCCATTGAGTCGGTGATGCCATCCAGCCATCTCATCCTCTGTCATCCCCTTCTCCTCCTGCCCCCAATCCCTCCTAGCATCAGGGTCTTTTCCAATGAGCCAACTCTTCACATGAGGTGGCCAAAGTATTGGAGTTTCAGCTTCAGCATCAGTCCTTCCAATGAACACCCAGGACTGATCTCCTTTAGGATGGACTAGTTGGATCTCCTTGCAGTCCAAGGAACTCTCAAGAGTCTTCTCCAACACCACAGTTCAAAAGCATCAATTCTGTGGCACTCAGCTTTCTTTATAGTCCAACTCTTACATCCATACATGACCACTGGAAGTATTACATGTTTAAAATAGAGGACTTCTAATTCCTTTTAAGTTTGCAGGTGCTGGATTCTGGATGGCTGAAGCTAATTGGTTGACACCCTGGAGACACTGAAGTCATGAAGAATTTTTTTTCTTTTTCACTGATTTCTGTTTTCTTATTAACCACCTTTTCCTGAAAATGCCATATCTTTGCCTCAGAATGGCCATATACTTTTAGAGTTATATGCTATATTGAATTTTAGGAGTACTGTTTTTCCTTGAAAATGCTATTGTTCTTTTGTAAACTACTGCAGTGTTCATATTTGCTTCTTGTTTTTAAGTTTTATAGGTAGGGGCTCATTTTTGTCTCTGAGCCACACGGAATTTGCCTGTTGCTGAAGAATCCGAACCTATCCCATTTAGAAGATCTTCCAAGATCCTAAAGAAATCACACTTCATTTCTGATTGACCTATACCTCAGTGAGACCCCCCCCGGCTGGATGAAACTAAGAAGAATAAGAAGTCAGGGAAGAAGAGATGCTTTGGGACTTATTAGAGGGAAAAGGGATACAAAATAATTTTGTTAGGATTTAATTTCTCTGTTGATATGGAATTATTTCAGAAGTGTTGGGAGGGGTGAGTTTGCAGTGTTAAATTCTATAGATGATAGCAAATTTGATGGATTTCATTTAATTAAACAAATAGTTATTGATTGTCTAGTATATGATAGGAGGTAGAATTATATGGTATTATCTAGCGTACACAAATCTTTTTGGTGAGATCGGTTAGATGACAGGGGAGAGCATAATTTGGGATATATTATAGATTAGAGGTGACTTTGTTTTGCATGTCATGTGGTCTTTGGGTAAACCCAGTTGAAATAGCATCCAGATATTTCTGTATTTCTGGGGGCAAGATCAAAGACATTTTTGTGGATGGACTTGATTTCCCAACTGTTCATCTTGTTGGTCCCAGATGACACAAATGAGTAGTGGCAAAGAGCAGGAAAGTGTCCTCACAAAAGTTCAGGCAGGACTTTTCTGATACTCTCCTGATTTCCTCCCTCGAGAGGGACAACTAGTTTCCTGGTTGCCTGAAAGACCAGCCACCATCCCAAGTCCCTTTCCAGCCAGTGGCTGAAGAACAAAATGTATTCCAAAGACAGACATCGTGCTGTGGATGGTGCTTCTCTTGGGAGGACTAATTGGATTAAAAGTAGAACTGGACTGGGACAAGAACTCTTGAGAATGCCCTTGGGCCCTTCTCTTCCACTTTGTGTGTTCTCTGCAGGCTCTGCTCCCCTGAGGCAGCTGCTGCAAGCCAGGGGGAGCCAGGGTGGAGCCCAGGGGCTGGAAAGTCAGATCAGTCTCCAGTCTGAACAAGAGGTGTCCTGGAGTTCTCCCAGGAGATTCCAGCTCACCAGGCTCAGGCTCTGTCAGAGGTTTTCTGTTTCTAACTAGTAATAAAGAGTGTTCACTTATTGCTGTGTCTCCTGTGTAGTGTGTACCACGGGGACAGGTTTGCTCAGAAGTGGCAGTTGATTTAATTATTTTAAATTAATTAAGTTTTTTGGTTGGGCCATGAAGCTTGCAGGAACTTAGTTCTGCAACCAGGGAATGAATCCAGGCCCATGGCAGTGAAAGCACTGAGTCCTAACCACTGGGCCTCCAGGTAATTCCCAGAAGTGACCATTTAAATCTGAATCTTCCCTCCATCCCACTGAGAAGACTGAAAGTTACATGTCATTCACTATTGAATGACATTTGAAGGGCCCCTCTTCTTCCTGTGAGTTACCCAAGAATGGGAGGGGGAGAGCCTTCTATGGGGGCCTTCAGTCCATTGTTACTGTCCCTGGTACTCTCACTGTCCAAGTCCACATGGTTTCTAGAGGGTGGGCATGTCTGCTTCTCTATAGCCAGTGGGGGTTGGAGGTGTCTGCCAGTGCTGGAAGCCCTGATGTCCTAGTCTCTCTACAGTCACCATTTCCCTCTGGGGCTCTGCTTTCTCCCTGGGGTCTTGGTATGGAGTAAGGAGTACATAGGCATTATAAAGCAGTATTCTTTCTCTAGATCATTCCTTTCATAGCATAATTTGGTCCAAGTGTGCAGGATTATAGAAAACCAGATACAGGCTGGCTGGGATAAGAGGTGCCAAGATTTGGACATCTTCTTGGAATGGGTATGGTGAGATGAGGGGGTGGAAGATAAAAATGACCCTGTCATATGAGAACTCTCCTTTCTCAGAGATGACTGATGGTAAGAGCCTTGGCTAGGGATAGGAATGTAGGAAAAGAAGAGGGTTATCAGGGTGAATAAACAAAATTATTTGAGAGGGAGGGGAGAAGATATTATGATATTTTGTGGGTCCTAATGTCCCCTGTACACTTGGAAAGATGGGCATGTGCTGGTATTTTTCCTGCTGGATATAAATTCAGTGCTGGTGCAATAGAGGAAGAGTACAAATGGTGGTGGAGGAAAAGAAGAAAGAATGAGGCCTGGCAGCAGCCATTGCCATTATTGATGATAGGGATGGGCCTGGTACTGCTCCCTTATAGGCACTTATGAAGGTGGTGATGGTGGAGGAGGGATATGGGTATTTCTCTGAGCAGGAGGGTGTAAAGGAGGTGGAAAGAGGCCTTTTAGATCCTGTGGAAGCTTCAGAGCAAGAGAAAATGCAATCTGTGTGGAGAAAGGGAAGGATCATAGCAATATTCTTCACACCACCTCCTCACCATTCTATCATCTTGTACCTGCTACTGGACCCTACACAGGAGCAGCATCTTCAAATGCCCATTTCTATTTCTACAATTAGTATGTCATCTATCATTTAACCCCTTTCATTCCCACTAGTAAAAGCAGAATCAGAATAAGTGCCTCAAATAAGAGAACTTCCTGTGAGAGCATCTGCTACTAGCACAGCCTATCAGCAGGTGTGGGCTATAGAAAAAGTCCCTGTGGTAGATAAGAGGTGGCAGCAGCTTCAGTATCAGAATGGACAGGAGCAAAAGGCTCAGCATTTCTTAAGATCCCTTAGGAATGAGAGAATTCTACCTTGTAAAGACAAGGAACTAGAATGATGAAAGTGGTAAGAAATTATTCCTGGGATGCAACCATACTTCAAATAAAGGAGATGCCTAATCCTGGACAGGCATTCTGTCTTCTTATGGGGCTAGTTGACCTGTTTGATTTCGGAAATGTAAGAGAGAACCAAGGAGATCTGAAACAAAAGAAATCAATTTCCTGAGTACATGTCTGATTATAAACATAGCTATATAAAAATAGCTATAAATGTAGCTTAATTTCACTTTAGAAAAATTAGAAAAAAATTTCAACCAGAATTTCACCACTAAAGGTACCACTGTTTATATTTTTATGTGTTTAATTCCATATCTGTATATATATGCACTTACATTGGCATGATAAATTTTTTAAAGCATTCTTTACATGCAATTGTACATCTTTTATAGTCTTTTTTATTGTGGTTGAAAAAACAACATGAGGTCTAATTGTTAACTATAAACACAGTGTTGTATAGCAGGTCTCTAGAACTTTTCCATCTTGCATAATTGAAACTTCATAGCCTTATTTAAATTAACATATTAATTTTTTTTTCTTTTACACCTGTGTGCCCCAGTGTTGTAGGCCCCTTGTTCCAGACTCCTCGCATGCCACCTGTTAAGCAAACCCCAGTCCTCTCCAATGTCTTTCCTCCTATTCAGAGCCACAGTGCATCTCCACCTTGGCTCAGGGCCTGTGGCCAGGTGTCCGAGACAGAGCTCTGACTTAGAGGGATGCAGGGATGGGACTGCTTGAGGCCAGAATGAGGTAGTGAACGGCACATGCAAGGGGCGTTAAGTCTTCTCCTGGGGCAGTGACGTGGGGCCCCAAGGTCCGAGACCAAAACAACCCGAGCCCACCCATTCCACTGCACGTGGCTGTGGCCAGTTGTTCCTCCCAGCAGTAGCCAGATGTCTAGAATTCGTCCTAGGAGGCCGTCCCTGCCTGTACTTGAAGTCTCTCCGCCAAACAACAGGGCTCTGCTCTCTTGGAATCAGCCCAACTGCGAGCATCCTGCGATGAGGAAGCTGGCCCCTTTACCCGAGCCCCTCCATTTGGAAACATTCTCTTTTCAACAGCATAGGGAATGCCTGCAGCCAGGGCCGAGGGCCAGACCCTGGTCCAGGTGCGTGGAATGTGAGGTTTCCCAGGAAGGCAAAGACAGGGTGCAGTTGGAGCATGCAGAATACACTTTGTGGCTTTGGGTGAGTGTGGAGGTGTAAATGTGAGTACAGAGGGAGGGGTAGGGAGAG